TCCTCAACAAACTGCCCATGGAACAGCCCCCTAAGCAGTTCATAGTGCTCCCATGTGGTGATGTTGCCACGAATACTCGCCGGGCACTTGCTATGAGTAACATCAACGTTTCCACCATAAACACATCTATCAAAGACCTCACTACGGAACGTAGCCCCACACCTCTAACTTCTACAGTAGGCGTCTACACTATTCCCTGTGGATTCTGTCCCAAGAAATATGTAGGCGAGACAGGCAGAGATCTTGCAGTCTGCCTGAATGAGCATCGAAATGCCTCTAACAGACGATGTAAGGTACGCCTGTGTCCTCCACAGAGACTCCACGGGGCATTTGATGAACTGGAATGAGGCACAACTCGTTCTCACAGAACCAGACCTCAGACGCCGACGGTACCTAGAAGCCTCGCTAATCGCCGTCACCGACACTATAGAACGCAACACTGGAAACTACAAAATTTCAAAAACATTGGCACACATGATACTTAAGCACCACCAACCCAACAACACAGGAATCACATGATTTCATCGTCTACCCATCCTCATCCCAACATGACATTCCTCAGGTCACCGTGCGTCACTCACACCTCACTCTCCGCCTATATATATAATGTCTTTCTACCTCTGTATGTTAGAAGTGATCAAGGTCCCAGGACCGAAACGTTTTCTAATAAATATGTCGGTGTTTGCTTATGTGTCTTTCTAAACCAACTTGTCGGTATTTATTACCAAGGTTTATACCACCCTGACTGGTGTACATAAGAAAGCAGGAACACTGCAGGAGGCCTGTTGGCCCATGCTAGGCAGGTTCTTCACAAACCATCCAACTAACAGAATATAAGAACATAAGAAAGGAGGAACACTGCAGCAGGCCTGTTGGCCCATACTGGGCAGGTCCTTCACAGTCCATCCCACTAACAAAATATTTGCCCAACCCAATTTTCAATGCTACCCAAGAAATAAGCTTTGATAATTTTATTGACTCGTGCGCAAGTCCCACTCAAATCCAACCACTCGCCCATGTATTTATCCAACCTAAATTTGAAACTACCCAGGTACTAAAATCGGAGGAACCAAAATATCCAGTCTCTACTTTGTTGAGGGTCTCCCTAAGAATAAAACTTACTTTATTACCCTCATTTAGTTTCAGTTTTCTGGACCAAATTTCCATCAAAAGAGAAGTAAAGCAGAGTATCATTTATACCAATTACTGAAGTAAGTTTCAGACATCTGTAAGAAATGTATGTGTATTTGATATTCAGGCAGTAAATATAAAAGTTATTCTATTGCACATCGTCATTTTTTATTGGAATGATAGCACTAACAAAAAAATTTAACCTGTCCTATTGACACTACCGGAAACACACCATTTGTTTTGGTCTTAGTGTAACTCATTTGTCAGGTACATTATATTCTAATGTCTTCTGTAAGCTAAGCTTGGGTCAGTTACAACTTAACAAAAATCTAAATTATATTATAAAAACAATAGATGTATGGCATTTGTAGTTGTGCAGAGCATCATCCCAGCTTCCTCTGTCCTAAACACCTAGGAGCCTTGTATGATAACAAATCATAGGCAGAATTGCTGTAGGGAGCTACCTGCTGGCAGAACTTCAATCACCTGATTGAATGTGCTTCTTATACACCATGATTTTGAGCCAGTTTATTTTGTATTAGTTTACTATGCTCATAAATAACAGGGTTTGACTGTATCGTGTTATAATTTTGTGATGTTAATTCTGTACCTACAGGAGTAGAACTCGTGGTTTTTTCTGAAGTGCAAGGAAGCATTGTTGAACATTAGAGTTGTATTGGAAACCCCCTGTATTAAGTGGGTCAGCATAGAGCTAAATAGGTTAAAGTAGAATAATATTCAGCCTTGAAACCTGTTATACACATTATACAGCATACACTTTAATTTACTAAACTGCGGCAGACCAGGACTCGACCCTACAAAACTTGTACCGCCTCCAGAGACAGCACAATGTACACATCACCTTACCACTATGCCACTGATCAGTGGCGTAATGGTAAGGTGATGAACACACTCCCAGCTGTCAAGAGGGAACTTTATAAATTGCTCAAGTCAGTTGGTGATCAAGAGAAGCATGGTGAATAATTAGTTGGTGAGAGACCAGAAGACACGAAGTTCAGTGCTCTGTATGTGCACTACAAGTTTGTTTACATTTTCTTTGTTAATATCTTTATAAAGAATATTGATCCAAGTTTAGTTTTTAGTATAAATAAAAACCAAAGTTGCACTTTAAGACAGAACCAGAATAACTTGACATTACATTTTAATAATGCATGACAGTGTAATAAATTCAGTATATATAGATTAACAGTCATTTCCTATTTATTGGCTTTGTTGTCAGTATGGTTTTTATCATTGTCATAATGTTTGTCAGTTTTTCTTATTGTAGTGAACTTGGTTAGTTAATAAGCCTTATGGGATATTCAGTCTCATATGATAAGCAAATAGTGTCACTTAATTAGAACAAATTTCAAGACAGTCATAATTAAGTGGTCTTCTGATTGTGGTTTCAGTTCTCTTAATAAATTTGATCTATGAAGCATTCTTTCTTTAGGAAACTTCAAGAATATAGCATGCAGTAATCTTATTCAACCAGTGTTTTCTTTTATTTCATGGAATTTTAATATCACTATCATTTTAGCCTTTAGGTACTATATTTCTTCCCTTATCTCATGGTAGCCAGTTGACTTGCTGACAATTTTGAGTCACTGGTTTTCTCTTCTCCCTCCCTTCTCAGAAGCTCTACTCAGATGGCATAAAAATCAGATTAGGCTTCCCTTTCTTTTTGCCTTTCATTTCTAAGATTTCTTTGCACGCTATGAAGGGTATTACTGTACCTAAGTCAGCAACTAAACTTTGGGTTAAAATTGTGTGTGCGCGTGAAGGTGTTTCATATACAGTATTCACAGTTAATTGTTTAATTTTTTCGTAAAGCACAATATTGGTCTGTTAGTGCATGTTGAATATGATAAATATTTTTTAAATAAGCATTCAATGTTTTTAAACAAAAAGATGTAAAGTGTACAAGTGAAAATGGGAATGAAAGAAGAGAGATTATTTCCAGTATTGTACATCATCATCTTTATTTCCTCATTGACTGTTTCAGTTTTCCATTATTCGGATGTTAGAGGTCCAGATCTGCTTTAATTAATCTTCTATTAAGCACAAAAAAAAGAAAGAGCACTGCAACAGGCCTGCTGGCCCATGCTAGGCCAGTAGGGATTTCATTGGGGTCTCTCGCATCTTGATTTTGTTGTCTCCCTCACTGGGTATTTTTTGCATTATGTCTTTCATATTTAGTTCATTTTTCTCAGTTTTAATAAGATTTGGTTCTGGTTTTTTTAATGTTTTTTAGCCCTGCTCTTGAAATATTTGTTTAAATCTATTTTTATGTATATAGGTAATACATATTTTAAGAAAGAGGATAAATAAGTATACAAGATGTGATGTAGGGCGTAATGACAATAGTTTGTTGAACTACGTATTGGTTAATAAAAGACTGTTGGGTAGACTTCAAGATGTACATGTTTATAGAGGGGCCACAGATATATCAGATCACTTTTTAGTTTTAGCTACAGTGAGACCAAAGGTAGATGGGATACAAGGAAAATGGAAGCAGCAAGTAAGAGAGAAGTGAAGATTTATAAACTAGAAGACGAGGCAGTTAGGGTAAGATATAAACAACTGTTGGCGGTCAGATAGGCTAGTGAGAGTATAGACAATGGGGTAGAAGATGTACGAGGTAAGTTTAAGAATACATATATAGTGTTAGTGTTGAGCAGAAGTTTGTGGTTACAGGAAAGTGGGTGCAGGAGGAAAGGAGAGTGATTGATAGAATGATAATGTAAAGAGAGTAGTGAGAGAGAAAAAGTTAACATATGAGAGGGTTTTACAAAACAGAAGTGATGCAAGGAGGGAGGAGTATTTGGAAAGAGAGGTTAAGAGAGTGGTGAAGTAGTGTAAAAAAAGAGCAAATGAGTGAGTGGGTGAGATGTTATCAATAAATTTTGTTGAAAATAAGAAAAAGTTTTGGAGCGAGATTAATAAGTTGAGATTTTAAACAAGATTAGTTTAAATCTTGAAGAAAATTAATTGTGTTGGAAGCATATTGGCATTAGCATATTCTTGACCCATGGGGACCTCTGGGACTGTAACCTCCCTGTAGGTTTGTAAGTCTTGCTGTATTTTCTGTCAAATGTTTTCTCGTTCGATGTGTGTTCCTGTAGCTTGTTAGATTGCATCAAGTGCAGACATGATTTTTTGAATTGGATATGTTGTTGGAGTGGAAGTGAGGTAACATTTATGAAGGGATTCAGGAGAACTTGATTAGCTGGACTTGCATTGTGGAGGTAGGAAGTACATGTACATGGCTTGCATAGTGAAGGATGAGTGAGGGTGCTGTGATTCAGAGGGTCGTTTGAATTGTAACGTTCACAGTTGTTAAATGAGTGATGGTGAAAGTATTTCTTTAGGGGTTATTCTCTCTTTGTAGGAAAGTGCCATTTTGGTAATAAAAATGAAATGGATGTATTAGTATTGATAAACAAAGTGAAGTTTAAGATTTGTTGTGTGATGTGTAGAACAGAATATATAAAAAAACTGAATGAGCTCAGCATTAGATAGAGACCAGCCATGAAAGAAAGATAATTATAAATAATTTCTTGGTCATGCTTTTAAGTTGAAAAATATTTATTAATTTATCAAAACTTACTCTACTTTTATGTGAATATTACATTGAAAACTTTTTTTTTTTATCATCATCTGTTTGCATATTGATACTTAGTCAAATAACCAATTTCTTTGTTTTGACCTAATAGATGTGGTAATATTTATTACAGTATGTGTAGATACTCTTGTAGAATTTACTATGAGTCTTTTTTTGAAAGTAACTCAATTGCCTTTTATTAGAGTAGAATATGTTTAAGTTAGCAATATTATTTGTGATTTTTTTTTTCCCCCATTTTGCACAGTTGAGGAAGAAGGTGAACGACTATGCAGCTTCTTTGATGAAAATGATTGTCGTTTCAAGTTTGTGTACGGCTATGACGAGAATAAAGAACCAATAGTACGTGTGCAGCAAACTCTTGAATGTCCACCTAAGCTTGATATTCTTGGTTAGTATTTTTCTGAAGTATTATTATGCATTATTTTTTTTCTACTTTGTTCAGTTCAGTATTTAAATTCCAAAATTTATTTCAGACTTACTTTAGTGAACATCATCATCTCTACAAAAATTGAGAGAGGAAGAAGAGCTGACAATTGTAGTTTGTTCTTGGAAAGATGACTCCCAATATACAGTACTAGCCACTTTCAGTAGCTTCATAGTTTGTTCTTGTAAACTACTAGGTTCTGTATACTAGCTCCAGTTTCCTGTAGTTCTGTAAGTCTAGTATACTAGTCTCATTCTCCTGTAGCTCCTTTCCACTTTGTGAAACCTGGTTTGACATCAAGCCTTGGCCAAGAAAGATGGTCTCTGAACCCATTACCAGATATACTGTCATGCTACATAATATAGTATAATATAACTTCATTTTTTTAACACGTCAGCCGTTTCCCACCAAGGCAGGGTGACCCAAAAAGAAAGAAAAAATTTTTTTGTTATTCAACACTTTCACCGTTACTCATACGTAATCACTGTCTTCGCAGAGGCACTCAGATACGACAGTTTAAATGTCCGTCCAAACTGCTAATATCCCAAACCCCTTCTTTAAAGTGTACTTCCCATTTCTAGGACTCAAGTCCAGCTGACCGGTTTCCCTGAACCCCTTCACAAAATATTACCCTGCTCACACTCTAACAGCTCATCAGGTCCCAAAAACCATTTGTCTCTATTCGCTCCTATCTAACATGCTCATGCATTCTTGCTGGAAGTCCAAGCCCCTCACCCATAAAACCTCCTTTACCCCCCTTCCTCCAACCTTTTTGAGGATGACCACTACCCTGCCTTCCTTCCCCTACATATTTATGCTCTCTCCAAGTCATTCTACTTTGTTCCATTCTCTCCAAATAACCCAACTGCCTCAACAACCCCTCTTCAGCCCTCTGACGAATACTTATAATAATACCACACCACCACCTAATTTCAGCAGTATGAATTTTCTGCTTAATATTTACACCACACATTGCCCTTAGACACGACATCTCCACTGCCTCCAGCCTTCATGTACTAATTTAATTTATATTCAATGTGATTTTAAGGTGCATTTATAAAAAAAAAAAAAATCACGACTAAAATGTTTAAAACTCTTTAATCTATTGCTTTGTTTTTCCATGAAGGGATTGTTCTTGGTGTGATTGGTGCCATTGTTGCTGTGGGTCTGGCCCTCCTGTTTATGTGGAAGGTCCTTACTACCATCCATGACAAGCGAGAATTTGCTCGCTTTGAAAAGGAGCGTATGATGGCTAGATGGGATACTGTAAGTCTTTTGAAAAGTTTTTTATTGACAGTAATAATGTGGATACATTGAACCTCTTAACCCTTTCATTGTCCAGACTCCCAATCTGAAACTTATCCACAGCATCCAAGAATTTAAAAAAAAAAAAAAAAAAAAAAAAAGGAAAATTTTTGTGAAATTGTAGAGAATCTTTCTGAGGGTAATAAAACAAAAAATTACAAAATTTGATGGAAAATTGCCAAGATTACATTTTCACAAATTTTGCTCTATCAGCAATATTTACTCATTGGGTATTTTGCCCACTTAAGTCCTATTTTAGGCTAATTACATTGTTTCAATAGACCAAATTCTTAGCTTTTTTGTTGTACGTCTTCCATTTTATCAATTGAGCACAAGAAACTGCCCAATCAACTATTTCAGCTACCCATTAAAGTGATCAGAAACTGGTAATTTGACTAATTTCACACAAATTTCAGAATGGGGTCCAGAATAAACAGTGTAGGCATTCCAGGTACTAATCTAACACTTCTTCTATTTATTAGTTACATTCCCTGACTTTACATATGAATTCCATTTTTATTTTTTATTCACGCAAAAAAAAAAAAAGATTTATTGTTATGCAATATTGTAATAATTGTATAAATAATATCAGCACATTCGTGAACACACATTACACCCACCAATTGGACAAGTGACGTGATTTGTTTACTCTTAAATATTGGCAAAAATCAAACATTTCTGCTATTTGAGCTCAATTTCAGGCTATTTTCAGTTCCGAAACCAAACAAAATCATCTCTATTTCTGTAATATATCTTCCATTCTTTCAAATAAGACCAAAGAACCAAGAATACAACAATAAAAAACTACGAAATTACACTGCAAAGTTTCTGTTTTAAACCAAAAAGTCGCTGTTATTTCTCATTATATACTGCATACTGCAGGATTTTTTATATGGTGCACGTTTACTCCATAGATCCATTCTCTCATATCTAGGCCCAAATTTACTGCTCACAGCTTATCTGAGTGAGCTGAGCTCTTGGTGTAGTACTACGGCACAGCCAATGACCTCAAACCTGCATTACTACAGCATGGAAAATGAAAGGGTTAAAGAGCCATTCTAGAAGAGATGGTTTAAAAAAAATGTAAGGTGTAGGGTTGTAGAGTGGGTTAAAAAGAATACAAGGTGTACAGTATTAGTGAGTTAACCCTTAAACTGTCCATACGTACATCTACGTTTTTTTACATGCTTTAAAATGGAGAAAATTAAGGTCGGAGCGCTACACATGTGAACGTTGATCTGTGTTTGGACAGTTTAAGGGTTGTAATAACACAAGGTGTATAGTAGACGAGCGAGTTAAAAAATATTCTACTGATTTTGGGTATGCAATATTAAATATAAGTAAATAATGTTTCTTAAGAGGCCATAGTGATAAACATGGCAAAAGTCTTAGAAAAAGACCTAATAAAATTGATAAAGGGTTGTGCTTAATTAAGGAGCAAGTGGTTTTAGTACTTCACCTTTCAGTGGGGTACCTTGATAGTGAGGGCTCTTAATTTAAGTAACTGGAGCCTCAGTTGCCTTCCTTGAGTCAAACCTGATTCTCCCTTTCAATCACTATGACCCCTACAGGTTTGTCCCTTCATTTCCTGTACTCAGAGTTAAATACAGTGGACCCTCGCCTAACGATATTAATTCATTCCTGAGAGCTTACCGTTATCCAAATTAATTTTCCTCATAAGAAATAATGGAAATCCAGTTAATCCGTTCCAGACAGCCAAAAGTATTAAAATTTTTTTTTTTTTTTTCATGAAATATACATTTCCCTACAAAGAAAACAATAAGACATGCACAATAACTACATAAATAAATGTTAAAATGACACTTACCTTTATTGAAGAGCATTGATGAGTGATGTGACACTTTTTCTTGAACACTCTGAAAATCCTAGGGTGATACACAAGTAAAGGCTTCACTTTGCAATCCCCACTAGCATTACAACAAAACATGAGAGTTAGCCTGTCTTTTACAGGCTTGTGTCCTGGGAGTGCCTTTTCCTCCTGAGTAATGTAGGTCCTGTTTGGCATTTTCTTCCAGAAGAGGCTTGTTTCGTCACAACACATGTTGGGGTTGGAATTTTTCAGCTTCACCATGCCTTATTGCACTGTGTATGCCACTACGATTCTTAAATCTCTCAAACCAACCTTTGCTGGCCTTAAATTCACCAATATGAGCACTAGTTCTGGCATTTTTTCCTGTTCACCTGGGTGTTAGTCAACTGTTGTGGGTCGCATCCTGGGGGACAAGATTAAGGACCCCAATGGAAATAAGTTAGACAGTCCTCAATGATGTACTGGCTTTCTTGGGTTATCCTGGGTGGCTAACCCTCTGGGGTTAATTGTTTCTCGGTAATTGTTTCCCGTTAAGCCACACCAACAACACACACTCCACATCTTCGAATAGTACAGCTGATGATGGTGGAGCAGCAGCAACAGCTGATGATGGTGGAGCAGCAGCAACAGCTGACTGTGGTGCAGCAGCAGCTGACTGTGGTGCAGCAGCAGCTGACGGTGGTGCAGCAACGGCTGACTGTGGTGCAGCAATGGCTGACTTCGGTGCAGCAGCAGCTGACTTCGGTGCAGCAGCAGCTGACTTTGGTGCAGCAGCAGCTGACTTTGGTGCAGCAGCAGCTGACCATGATTCAGCAACAGCTGACTGTGGTGCAGCAGCAGCTGACTGTGGTGCAGCAGCAGCTGACTGTGGTGCAGCAGCAGCTGACTGTGGTGCAGCAGCAGCTGACAGTGGTGCAGCAGCAGCTGACGGTGGTGCAGCAACAGCTGACGGTGGTGCAGCAGCAGCAGCTGACGGTGGTGCAGCAGCAGCAGCTGACGGTGGTGCAGCAGCAGCAGCTGAAGGTGGTGCAGCAGCAGCAGCTGACGGTGGTGCAGCAGCAGCAGCAGCTGACGGTGGTGCAGCAACAGCTGACGGTGCAGCAACAGCTGACCGTGGTACAATAGTATGTATTTCTCACCCTTTTTACCACAGGGTTAGCACTAGAAGCTTTCTTTGGGCCCATGGTGGCTTATTTAGCAGTTTTAAGCACTATAAACAATGGAATAATTCAAAATGTATCGAATATATGCATGCAACTGGCCACCCTGGCTTGTAAATAATGATGGCAGGGCAGCTGAGGCTCTCAGGCTGGACAGACAGGTTTGGAAGGAATCACGTTGGGCGAGTTTTTTTATCTTGAGGTGAGGCAAAAAATTTTTGCATTCAAATGCTTCGTATGGCAGAATTAACGTTATGCGATGCGTTCGTTAGGCGGGGGTCCACTGTATTCGACACAAGATTTTTGCATTGCGAAGATTTCTTGTAAAATTTGCAAACAGAAATTAGACCTAGTTAAGAAATGTGCATTTTTTAAAACATTTAACCTGCAGACAGTGTGTAACCTGATTTTCCTTGGAAGTATGTAGGTCTGGGAAGTTAAACTCTTAGAGAGGCTAAGAATTCTACCAGAATGTGTCGTGGCTCTCAAAAAGTCTACCAGGGTGTGGTATTGCTAAATTATGAAATACATAAGCTCTCAACATAACTTTTTTATTTTACAGGGTGAGAATCCCATCTACAGGCAAGCCACATCAACCTTTAAGAATCCTATGTATGGGGGTGGCAAGTAAACTGCCATGTGCCTTGATCTCATTATTGGATCTGAAAACATAATTGATATGTTAGCCTTTAGTGTTGTAACTGGTTGCTAGTAGTGAACGTTCATAATAAGATATTAATGCCGCATTGTTGTGTTCATAGAAACTAAAATATTTCCTAATACTAATTCATGCCTCGAACCTCTTGTAATACAGTAGTGGCACCCTTTTTTTTCCCCTCTTATGTATACATTATGCATGTAATTGTTTGTATGTGTATGTAATGTAATAGACTACTTATGCTGGATGGTCCAGTGTGGTATGTGCCAACTGTAGTGATTGTTAAGTTCAACTTCATATGCAAATTTTTTACCGCTTAAGGTATATCATGCTTTAAACTGCGTTTTTAATGCAGTCTTTATTTTTTTAATTTTGGTAATTAATTGACAAGGTCGTACTTGTGTTTAATAAATACAAAACACACTCCATATTTGTGATAAAAAGATAGAGATGTGTTTTTGACAGCTAAATGGCTATACTGTTTGTACAACAATAAATTTTGTACTAAATAATTTTTTTTAAAGAGCTTTTTTTGTTTTCTATAAATTTTAAAAATAAGGCATTTAAATAAACGAACCACTGAGTGAAAATGGAAGGGTATTTATAAAATTAATTTTTCGTGTGACTTAGATTTGTCCCATCCTAAATATTATAGAAACCTGGGTGTATTGAAATGTATTGAGTAATGAGTGTGAATGTGTGAAAGTTGGTCGAGAAGTTGTTTTATATATAAAAAAAATGTATATAATTCTAAAGGTGCTTTCAGTTTTTAGTGTAATTTTTATATTTTATAATCTTAAATATCCTTTTATTATAGGGAATTAAAAAAAAATATGTTTTGAAGCTTTACTATATGTATGGTGTTGAATTTTAATATAATTTTATGTCTAAACTAAAAATAAATAATGACAATGTATGTAACTGCATTGTTTCACATGATTAGTGCCTTTGGCCATTCAAATAATTTTTATACATCTGAAGCATTACCTTGAAAAATTACTCAAGGTATCAGGAAACTTAGGTTAAGAATAGTTCTGATTTTTAAATTTCTTGATTGTAAAATCAAACTTTGTAAATACTAAAAATTGTGTAAGATTATAGTCACAATGCTGGCAGCTAGCTAGATGTTCATCTTTAATGTATTTACACTTCAGTATTCTATAATGGCAACTGCACATTTTGCAATTAAACATCACATGTCCTGCAGTAGTAATTATATTCACTAGGACCCCAACTTACTCAGTAAAGAAGGCATAATATTGAGGAAATTGAATTTCTAAATGAATGTTAATGAGCAAAGTGACAATCTTCCTCCTCTATTATACTTTTCTAGAGGATAATAGTGTCCGGATTACAAACAATTTGATTGCTAGTTGAAACGCCATGAGTGCATTGAAGTCGTAGGTTAGGGTCCTGCTGTGTATGTTAACTATAAAACTATTTAATAAATTAAAATTTATGCTTGAGTTTCATTTTCTTCACCCTATTTTTGTTGTGGACTCGCATCTCGCTCGTGGGAATCTCATGGAGAGGCACCTATTCCCACTCTGTGCAAATTGTCAGGTTTCAATTTCAGTTTGCCATATTTTAATGGACTGTCCTGTCCGCTAGCAAGCACACAGAATTTACCTCCATGTTGTCATCGCTCGAACACCCTTACTTTATCTTCCCTCCTTGCTGCTGGCCCTACCTTTGACTCAGACTCCCTCTTGCACGGCAATGGATTTATTACACAACCTTTAATTATACTAACTTTAGCACTCCTTGCTGCCTCAGATCAAGCATATTAGACCTTTAGCCCTCCCTACCCTGCAGAGTTGTATGACCCTGGTGGGTTTAGCGATTAGTTTTGATTATGATAATTTTGTTTTGGATTTTAGGTCGAGAACGTGCAATTAAACTATGGGTTACATAGCACTGCAAGCAGGAGTAAGGGTTGTGATTAATGGAGTTGAGGATTTATGTGGGTATAAAATTGGTCAAAATTGATGTAAGTAAAGTTTGAGTGTGTTTAAAGGTGGGAATTTCAGAGAATAAGTCAAGAATATTGGAGGTGAATCCTACGTGTAGACACTGATTTTGAGGCCCCTCATGGAGGGACTTTTGATCCAAGGAAATGAACTTGGCCTTCCCTTTCTTGGATTGAACTGAATGCCATTCCCAATTATTATTATTATAAAAAGTGAAGCGCTAAACCACAAGGGTCATACAGCACTGCTGCCATTCCCAAGCTTCTGTGACCTGTGAAGGGAAGGGAAAGCGGGATAAGGGTCGGCCTAGGAAAGGTTAAAGGGAAGGGGTAGAGGAGGTTTTGTGTGCGAGGGGCTTGGACTTCCAGCAAGTGTGCGTGAGCATGTTAGACAGGAGCGAATGGAAACTAGTGGTTTTTAAGGACTCTACGTGCTGTTGGATGGTAGGCAAGATAACATTTATGAAGGGATTCAGTGTCTTACAAGACACACTGCAGTCTTACAAGACTCACTACAGTCTTCCAAGGCACACTACACTACAGTCTTACAAGACACACTGCAGTCTTACAAGACTCACTACAGTCTTACAAGACACACTACAGTCTTACAAGACACACTCTAGTCTTACAAGACACACAACAGTCTTACAAGACACACTACTGTCTTACAAGACACACTACTGTCTTACAAGACACACTACAGTCTTACGAGACACACTACTGTCTTACAAGACACACTACAGTCTTACAAGACACACTAGAGTCTTACAAGACACACTAGAGTCTTACAAGACACACTAGAGTCTTACAAGACACACTACAGTCTTACAAGACACACTACAGTCTTACAAGACACACTACAGTCTTACAAGACACACTACAGTCTTACAAGACACACTACAGTCTTACAAGACACACTGCAGTCTTACAAGACACACTGCAGCCTTACAAGACACACTACAGTCTTAATAGACACACTACAGTCTTACAAGACACACTACAGTCTTACAAGAAACACTACAGTCTTACAAGACACACTACAGTCTTACAAGACACACTACAGTCTTACAAGACACACTACAGTCTTACAAGACACAGTAAAGTCTTACAAGACACACTACAGTCTTACAAGACACATTACAGTCTTTCAAGACAAACTACAGTCTTACAAGACACACTACAGTCTTACAAGACACACTACAGTCTTACAAGACACACTACAGTCTTACAAGACACTACAATCTTAATAGACACACTATAGTCTTACAAGACACACTACAGTTTTATAAGACACACTACAATCTTACAAGACACACTACAGTCTTACAAGACACACTACAGTCTTACAAGACACATTACAGTCTTGCAAGACACACTACAGTCTTACAAGACACACTACAGTCTTATAAGACACAGTTCAATCTTACAAGGTACACTGTAGTCTTACAAGACACATTATAGTCTTAATAAACACACTGTAGTCTTACAAGACAGACTACATTCTTACAAGACACACTGCAGTCTTACAAGACACACTACAGTCTTACAAGACACACTACAGTCTTACAAGACACACTACAGTCTTACAAGACACACTGCAGCCTTACAAGACGCACTACAGTCTTAATAGACACACTACAGTCTTACAAGACACACTACAGTCTTAATAGACACACTATAGTCTTACAAGACACACTACTGTCTTACAAGGCACACTACAGTCTTACAAGACACACTACAGTCTTACAAGACACACTGTAGTCTTACAAGACACACTGCAGTCTTACAAGACACACTACAGTCTTACAAGACACACTACAGCCTTACAAGACACACTGTAGTCTTACAACACACACTGCAGTCTTACAAGACACACTACAGTCTTACAAGACACACTACAGCCTTACAAGACACACTACAGTCTTACAAGACACACTACAGTCTTACAAGACACACTACCGTCTTACAAGACACACTACTGTCTTTATAGACATACTATAGTCTTACAAGACACACCAGAGCCTTACAAGACACACTACAGTCTTACAAGACACACTACAGTCTTACAAGACACACTACCGTCTTACAAGACACACTACTGTCTTTATAGACATACTATAGTCTTACAAGACACACCAGAGCCTTACAAGACACACTACAGTCTTACAAGACACACTACAGTCTTACAAGACACACTACAGTCTTACAAGACACACTACAGTCTTACAAGACACACTACAGTCTTACAAGACACACTGCAGGCTTACAAGACGCACTACAGTCTTAATAGACACACTACAGTCTTACAAGACACACTACAGTCTTAATGTCTTAAAAGACACACTACAGTTTACAAGACCACACATCTTAAAAACCACTGCAGCCTTACAAGACGCACTACATCTTAAAACACACACAGTCTTAAAAAGACACACTCAGTCTTACAAGACACACTAAGTCTTACAAGACACACTACCGTCTTACAAGACACCTACAGTCTTACAAGACACACTCAGTCTTACAAGACACCTACATTTTAAATAGACACACTACATCTTAAAAGACCACTACAGTCTACAGGACATTTAAGCCCTACAAGACACACTACAGTCTTACAAAACACAGTACAGCTTACAAACACACATACCCTTACAAGACGCACTGTTTATTTTCC